CCAGCGAACACAAGCGCTCCGATAACGCGGTCGCGCACAAGCTTCGGGGATCCACGCACCTACACTTTGCCCGAGTTCAGCAGGGCACACTTCATGCTGACGGCGAGAAAGACATAAGGGCTCAGTGTCGTGGAAACCGCCCGGCGCTTGCGACGTGAGGCTTGTCGCAAGACGCGCGCTTTTCTTGTCGAGATTTTGTTGGTGTAAGTATGAAATGTGCTTCCGTAACTTCAGAGGAAACACAATTATTTACCGCGAATGTTACAAGAGTAATGAAAACGGCTTTCTTTCTATAAGTGTAGAAATAGTTACGAAGTTGTGTCTGAAAGCACGTTACAACGCGTGCTTTGGAATTTCGCTGCTGAGTTGAGCGACGTCGATTACAAAGGTTTTGTGCATTAGAGGCTGCAGTCGGTGACGGAAAAATAACTGCAGTTTTTTGCAAGCACACAATCGCGTCACCTACCAGGGACGTCAAAAGAGTTGCAGCAACAACGTTGGTACCGAGAGTGGCATCGGGCTTTGGAGAACTGCTCGGGTGAACGCGGCTGCGGTGCTATAATTAGGGTATAGCGCTTTCTATATAAATTAAAAAAAAAGAAGGCGGAAGAAGGAAAAGTGTTTGTCGAATGTATCTTTGGGAATTTGTCTTTTAACCAACTATGGTTAGTGAAATCAAAATTTACCATTGAGCGAAGACGACGACGGGCGAGCAACTTGCGATTTGATATGCCGCCAGGAAGATGTGAGCTAAAAAAAAAAGTGATGAGCTGAGATTAGGTGCACCCAGGTGTCGGTAAAGCTCTGGGCGGGAGTTTGAATCAGCGTGTAATGTTTTCAGTGGGAGGGGAAGTGATAGTGTGGAAGAGAAAGAGAGATGATGTAGTCGCACAGCTATAGGGTCCCTCTCTGCAACAAAAACTTTGAAGTGCACCCAGAATGAACCAACGTTATGTTGCATTTAAGACAAATGTTAGCGGATCCGTGGCCAGTAGCAGTTTCAAGCGTTTTTGGGGAAATGGGTCGACACATTCTGACAGGACCACTTCCCCGCTGTTCTAGTTCTACTCTGTAGTGTGTAAAAAAAATGTGGTAGAGAGGGGATATTCGATAGGGGACACATACGCATATGTGGATGTGAAACCTAGAGGAAAAAAGAAGTATAAAAGGCCAATTCGTATATGCGCTGTATTTATTGCGGGTTTTTAAGTACATTGTCAGTTTGCTTGCCTGGATAAGGTTGGCCAGAACGATGCATTGGCGGTGATATAATAATTGTCTGGAGGATTTCTGCTGATCGGGCGGTGTTCTAGGAATATGTTGGCGCGATGCCATGCGCGACGCAACTGCTGCTATATTTATAAGGGAACAGCTCTGACACAACTCTCTCGTAACGCTGGCGCGCTCAAACAGACAATAATGCCAAGGAATGTATAAGGGAAGTTATTAGAACCAGTGTAGAGTAAATAAGAAGAAAGAAAAGTGGGTGAAAAAATAACTTCCCGTGAGCAGGATTCGAACCTTACGACCTCCGAATAACGCGTTCGATGCTCTACCACTGAGCTATCACGGCGGATATTCCCCCAGCCACTTTGTTGGGTTTATATGTGAATTTAAACGTGGCAGTGCCAGTCAGCGCCACCTGTAGCCATGGCGGCGAGTGTGGTACACTCTTTTTTATACAGATATGCACTTCTTTCCCTTATTCATTAACGAGGGTCTCGTACTGGAAGACTTGGTGCCGTTAGGCTGTATACGAGGGACTGTTGGTCAGCTGCCAGCTCGTAATAAAGTTCACGTGCTACGTGACGCCATACAGGCTCATAAGCGTATGGCGTGTAGCCATGACGTACATGACATGCGTGTCATGATTTCCACGTTCGGGCCTGCCACTTATGTTCGCTATGTGGTCATGTCATACCATACCAGCTTTGCAATATGTCATCTGAACGAGACCACGACAAAGCAAGAAGACCATGACATGCGAATCATGACATTGATGACATGTCATGATATTCATGTTATGCCTTACGCTCATAATACAGTCATGTTATGCCATAAAAATTTTGTATAGATCCCATCATTGCAACGGCCAGGAGAGCTAAATGTCGTAGGCGGATAGATAGATAGATAGATAGATAGATAGATAGATAGATAGATAGATAGATAGATAGATAGATAGATAGATAGATAGATAGATAGATAGATAGATAGATACGCAAAGTTCGCTAAAAATGCTAAATAAACCGAGCAATTGAATGCTCACATCCAGCTACATATATTTGTACGAATCGACGAAGTTGTTGCCACCTCGTGCAGCCATGGGGCGGCTTCGCCGACTGTGGCGGCCTGGTGAAATTCCTCCGTGCTGCCACATACATATTCGTCAGCGCAACCCACAGCTTTGATTACATGCCTAGGAGGACTTGCGTTGCGCCATAAGCGTCAGAGCCCAGAGAAATAAAATGCAAAAATGGGTGTGCATGTTCATGATGTAAAAAAAAAGGATAATATGTATCGCAGTACGATCCCGTTTTTCGGACGTTGTCATTGCTCGTTGTCTGCGCAATAAGTCCACAAGATACGCGAGCAGTAACTATATCCTTTTGTTTTTACTGAACAGTGTATTTTCGTGGTGCGCAGTAAATCCTATGATCTTGGTCGGATGAGATCCGATATAATCCAATCCATATCCTGAACTGCCTGGGCTTCTGCCACATTGCCATTCTTCTTGCGAATCAGTCGCAATGCCTTCCGCGAAGAAGCTTTCATTTACCTCTGATTGGATGAACGCGTAAATATCTGAGCACGCGTAGGTTATGTATTAGAGCGGTGCCGAACGGCGCAAGGAAGGCTCGGTGCGCAGCATGCCAGAAGACTCATCAATATGGTCATCACTGCTGTCTACAATCGCCCCGCCGTGGTGGTCTAGTGGCTAAGGTACTCGGCTGCTGACCCGCAGGTCGCGGGCTCGAATCCCGGCTGTGGCGGCTGCATTTTTGATGGAGGCGTAAATGTTGTTGGCCCGTGTGCTCAGATTTGGGTGCACTTTAAAGAACCCCAGGTGGTCGAAATTTCCGAAGCCCTCCACTACGGCGTTTCTTATAATAATATGGTGGTTTTGGGACGGTAACTTACCGTGTTCTGGTACTGCGACGAGTGAATGTGCGCCTGCTGTGCATGCATGCCCAAGCAGGAGGCTTAAAATTAGCCTGCTAAACCAGCTGCGGCCATCGCGTCTGACGGTAAGGCAACTTTAAATGGTTTTCTAGTAAAGAAATGCGCAAAAAAGTGGAATTTTTTTTTCTGTAGCAGCCCAGGCATCTTTTTTTTTTTACCGCTGGAGGGTTTTTCTTCAATGCGCAGAGTTTTTACACGTACCAGTAATAGAATCATCATTGAAAACCTGCCACAGTCAGGAAATTAGGAAAAGTTTAATTGGTAGACTCCTTGCGAAACACAGCTCCCATGGCCGGGAATCAAACCCGTGCCCTCAATCGTAACAGCGCGACGTATTACCTGCGAAGATGCCAAGGTGAGCAACGAACCCGTTAAACTGAATCGGTTAAATCTAATCAGTTGCTACTAATGTTTGCCTTGCGGTTTTCGTTTCTCTGGTTTTGAGTTGGCTTTTCCAAAGGCTTTCTGTTTTTTTATATACGCGTTACCTCTTTCTTTTATATATATTGAAGTCTACGAGCGTCTTTGCATATATACTTACGTCTAAAATAGTGTTTTAATGATATTTTACATGATAAATGTAGAGCCGATGGTTACTAATACTATTCTCTTTTACACGGCCAACGAGTAAAGCCAACGTAAGAGTGCACCTTCCCACACGCCAAACCATGTTTGCTCGCATCATTACGAGAGATTCGTTAACGCTGATGTCCACATACATCCGCAAAATTTATGAACACATTCTTTCCGACGTGCGCGCATCTCCGCAGGAGGAGGAATCGAGTGCGCCCATTTGCGTAATGGCTCACACGTGTCTGCACAGTTCGATCCTTTGGAAAAGTATATACCGTCCATCAGCAGGTGGCGTGCGCGATTCAGGGCGTGTCGTGCCGCCGCTGGCTTACGAGCGCTGTATACTTCGAGCGCGCGCAAACGTAGGCGGTGTGCAGGACTCCGGCAGCGGGCCTCGTGCACTGGGGTTTGCCTCGTTTATCCGTCATCCTTGGTAGCGCCTCCACAAATATTATTACAGTGTTGTAGAACAGTTTGAAGGAAAGCGTCGTGGGATGCGCATAGTTGCAGTGTAATATAACTTTAAATGTCAAGTTTTATTCTTGGGACGCGAAGTATATTTAAAGCCTCTCGCCGGGAGACATCACAAGCACTTTGTCAAATAAAGCAGAAGATACTTATTCGATAGGCGAATGGCTTATAAAAGTGCAACTCTTACCGCCATATTCTAGAACGCCCTTCACTCAACGCTCCACCTTCACTTGAGAAAGCCGATGGGAGCGCCATCTCTAGGCAGGGAAAGTCACTGCATATCAGTGACAATTTGCTGCTATTCTTCAGTAGCTCACCGTCATTCTCAGCCGAGCAGTGGCGCAGTGCGCAACTCTGTCAAGTGAAGGGTGAGTCGAGTCGAGGATCGTTTGTGAATATGGGGGTAAGTCTGTCCGCCTTGTATAGTTGTCCAGGTCTGGTCAGGCCCGCTGTAAATCGAAGCAACGCGGGCTCTGTTTCTATAGTGAAGATATTCTGTTAAGGGACAAGTTCTCTGCGTGTGTATCCTTTCTCGCTATAAAGCGTGCTGACCCTCCTCATTTCGGGCGCGGATCTGCTGCGGAGGCAGATCCCGCTGCAACGGTGTGCTGCGGCGGAATGGCCGACCTCACTGGGCCGCCGTGTCGGGTGTTTGCGCCTCGTCATCGAGATAAGGGGCAGCTGCTTGAGGGCACGGTGCGGGCGCAAACAGCGCCGCCATAAACGGCGAGACGCGGCACGAGCGATAGGCGCTCAGTCTGCCGCAGCGCGTGCTGCCATGTGCTTCTGCTCGCGAGGATGCACTACGACGAACGCATCGTCGGCCGCCGTTCGTTTGGGAGGTGAGAGAGCTACTGTTCGGGCAAAGCGGTTCTCTGCCTGTCCCCCCGTCACTTGGCGCTTCAACTTTACGCTAGAGTAGCGATGGCAGATCCACCTTTCGGCAAAAGTGTTTACTGCTTACAGGTGTTAGCCGGCAGCATTTTGTGAAGGTAACCGTAGAGTCATTTTCAGTTGGAGCGGTGGCGCTGTGATCAGTTCGCTCTAGTAAAGGCTGGAGTAGCGAGGCTTACCCCCGTATTCAGAAACGCTCCTCGACTCGACTTTCACCCTTCACTTGAGCACTGCGCCGCTGCTCGGCTGAAAATAATCCTTCGCTACTCAAGAATCGCAGCCGATTTATGGCTGATATGCAGTGACTTGCCGTGCCTAGAGAAAAAACTTGCGTTGGGTCTAGTTGGTACATAGCACAAAAAAAGAAGTTAACTTCTTTGGCGCAAACAATACGGAAAAAGGAAAAAAGAAGGCGAGGAAAGAAACAGATTGACGCCAAACTAACAACTGCTTTATTCTTCACACAGCAACGCATATATATGCTTTGGAGGCTTATCATATTAAGAAAAGCGGAGCTGACTGTATCAGTGATACTTCCGTTTCTTTGCATGCCATCGAATATGAATTTTTGCGTACACATCTTGGTTAAGATATCGTGTTCTACAAGTGTAATTTGACAACACGCGTGTACTTTCAGGTGTGTGGTGTGATGTATTAAGGTTTAAGGAATTTTCATTTTTACGTATACGATACGAAGCTGTGCGTGCGCATGCAATGTATGTGGTTTCGGCATATATATGCGTTGCTGTGTGAAGAATAAAGCAGTTGTTAGTTTGGCGTCAATCTGTTTCTTTCCTCGCCTTCTTTTTTCCTTTTTCCGTATTGTTTGCGCCAAAGAAGTTAACTTCTTTTTTTGTGCCTAGAGAAGGCGCTCCCATCAGATTTCTCAATTAAAGGTGAAGCTTTGAGTGAAGGGACGTTCTAGAATACGGGGGGTTATTTCAGAATACGGCGGTGAAGCTGGCAGACTAACAGCATTCCGCTTGTGCTTCTGAAAAAACAAAGACCCCAGGAGTGGGCGATGTCAACGAAAATGATTTGCCGCAATGCCGCTTGCAGCTGCTCGGATCTTCAGTTAGCAGCGTTCAAAATTGCCCCGTGCCAGACTACGAGTGGCACCGCTATCGTTGCGCCGCGCGCAGCTGCAGCGATAAGGTGAATTATGCCGGCAATTACGGACCGTGCAGCTGTCCCAGTGGTACTTTTTACACATATCGTATAAAGGCGAAAACCTTCTGGAAGTGCAGTTGGCAGTAGCGTGATCCGTGTGAAGCAGCGAGGAGGAGCATCCGTTCGGGGTCACGCAGTGGTTGGCGTCACTTCCGGTGAGCTGTAATGGCGGTTCTTTTGGTATGGAAAACGCTTATGTTTCAGGACTGTTTCCGATGCACCTGTCCTTCACCATGCTCCCAAATGCTCCAGGAAGTGCTTTCCTTGTAGTTGTGTATTATCACTTGAAGTCTTGTTTTACGCCACGCACTATTTAAGTGTATAGACTATTTAAGCTAAAAAAGCCCAGTTTCTGTTTTAAAACACGCCTCGAGCCAGATTCGTAGAGACATATGTCGCTATAGAAATGTGGCATCATGACGTCCCATTTCATAATCGGAAACCGTTTCATAGCATTGGTTTGTAACACGTAAGTGAAATACAGTTCCCCTCGAAGTAATTTCAGCTTTCCAAGGAAATTATCGCAAACAGTGTGTTTCCAATGCGCCGGTCTGACAGCTTTCTACACGAATGCACCCGTTTTGACGCCGACCGCCGCATCTCCGCAGAGCATCTTTCGCCCGACTTCATCGTGCCTTTTTTTTTTTTTTGCCGTGGTTAGGGTGCTTTGCTGCTGACCCGCACGTCGTGGGTCAAATCTAGGCTGCGGCGGTGCCGTTTCGATCAAATGAATAATGGTAGAGGCCCATGTACTCTGTGATGTCAGTTCACTTAAAAGAGCCACAGATCGCCAAAATTTCCGGCATTCTACACTGCGGCGTGCTTCATAACAATACCGTGATTTTGGTGTGTAAAACACCGAATAATTTTTCTGTTATTCTATTATTATTTTTGGTGTATTTGGCAGCCCAGTATGTTACGGCGTGCTACGATTTCTTCGTGCACGCCTCGAACGCGTGGAAACGCAGCGCTTCCTCGCTGGCGTGTATATGCGTATGCGTATCTACGCACTTCCCGCAGGCCTGACGCAATCACGACTGCCGCATCACACCGAGACGCAGCCGTAGCGCTTGCTCGGCGCGGTTCTTTGCTGCTCCGCCTTCATAGATGACGGCAACATCGCTGTCAAGAGCGGAAGACGCATACGACGCGTTTTCACCGCGAATCCGGCTTCATTTCGAGGCGTTCTGGTAGGCGAGCCCGGTTTGGGTGCTTTGAAGCCACCTAGTCGGAAGTCTGGTTGCACGGTCGGTCGACGTAGCCAAAAGTTTTCTGTGCCTGCCAGATTGTCCTTTTATTGACGTCAGTTCTGTGGGGAAAATGACGTTGGTGAGTTGTTGGTGTACCCCGGCGTAAAAGTCTTTCAAAATGACTGTATTTGGCAGTATCGCAGCTATTTGTGTGCGGTTGTCTTTAACATCACACTATCGGGGGTTTTCCGTCGTTAATAAACGCGCACAGGTTGTGTATGAATAGATAATTTGAGACTGTCATTGTTCTTGTGTTACCTTTGAACGCTCGGTCTCTCTACTGGGCACGATAGCCATGACGATAAAAGTTGATGCGAATTTAGTGAACAAGCTCACATATACGATCATGTATCACCTTGCCAATCATTCGACGCCATTCATGAGGATGCTGTGCATGAAAAAAAAAAAGTGAAAATGTTTACTGACCAAAAGGGGCCCTGCTCTGTACAGACATTTTTTTTAATCATGCTTTTCGTTCGCTGTATAGAAGCTCCGCCTTTAAAATTCCGCTGTCATGAATCGACGCTCTTACCAATGCGAAAATATAACGAGTGAACATAGTTAATGGTTTCGTGTAAATGACGCAGTAACACGGCGCCGATTATAACGCCCAGCTGTCAGTGGCGTCGCCAGGCATTTTTTCGGTAGGGTGGGGATCAGCCGTGCTGTGTGTATGTTCATGCGTGCGCTTGCATGGGTCCGTCTATATATATATACATGCAAAACTGGAAAATTGTCAGGGTAGGAACTGAATCTCCCTGGCTGCTGGTCCCAGCTGTGACAAACTTTTGTTTCGCTTTTAAGGGGGCTACTAAAGATAGGGCACCGCTTATATATCAACGCGAACTCGACGCAAGAAAACGGCAGGAAGAAGGCAGGCAGGTCTAGCACTTGTTCTTCGTGCCTGGCATCGAGTTCGCGCTCAAATAAGCGGTGCGAACTGCCAACCAGCTCACTTTGCGACTCTTCTTGACTGTAGAAGTGCTCGTTAAAGTAAGGAATGACCGCAAATTGTAATCGTGCAATAAAAGTACACCCATAAGAATATGCAGCGTCCATGTTTTACTTGTCCACTGCGGTGAAGAAGTTGGTCATGGAACTCGGTGGCGGACGCGGGTTTGGTCCCGGTCACGACGGTCGTATTTTAATGGCGGCGAAAGCATAGAGCCGGGCCCGTGAATTGTCCGGTGTTAGTGCACGTTAAAGAACAGCGAGTAGTGAACATTTTTGGAGCGCCCCCTCCCCCCCCCTCCCCCCCCCCATACACGGCGTCTCTCATGATCGTATCGTGGTTTTGAGACGCCAGACCCCAAATGTTATTTCATTAGTGTGCTTTACTTGATTCGTGAGACCAATATGGTGTTATTTCCAGCTCTTCAGTTGCAATTCGGCGATGAGCAGGAGCAGACCCGGCAGTGTATTTTTTGTATAGACTGCTGTAATGCTTAAAAGGATTGTCTGACGCGCTACTTCAGACTGAATTGCTTGTTCTTTTTTTTTTCTTATACAGGGTGTTTTAAGAAATGAGGTATCTGCCTGCTGCTTGCGGTGTTGCCTTGCTCTGGCAGAAAGCATCTTTAGATCGGTGCAACTATTAATGACGGTAGTAATTATAGAAATTAACACAATTAACTTTTAACCACTGGTAATAGCCGGTCGTGTCTAATGGGCGAATTCAAGCCTTTCCTACGAATATTCCATAGCCACTTTGAAATTTTGCAAAAGTGACCGCTGGTAATCACCGCAGAGCGATGCAACCTGGCCAATTTATCTGGCAAAACCGATACTGACACGCACCAAACAGAACATTTACCATTCACTTCGACAACACCCTCAATAACGGCACTGTTTCCCTCGCATTGGGGGGGAAGAGGAAGCGAGCGTCGATAAGCGGCCTCAAAGCGAAGTGTCTAAATTGACGGTTGATAACAGTGGCGGAAACAATGTCGTCATTGAGGTTGTTGTCGAAGTGAATGGTGGATGCGTTGTTTGGTGCGTCGGTTTCGGTTTCTCTAGCTAAATTAGGCTCATTGCATCGCTCCATGGTGATTACCACTGGCTGCTTTTCCAAAATTTCAAAGTGGCTATGCACTATTCATAGGAAGGGCTTGAATTCGCCCATTTGGCTCGATCGGCTGTCACCACTGGGTAAAGAGTGAATTGTGTTAATTCCTATAAAACTGCCGTAAATGATGTTTATGCCCATCTGAAGATCCCTTCTACCACTGGAAAGGCAACGCCTTAAGTAGCGCGCAGATACCTCATTTCTGTGAGTATTTAAAGAAAAGAATATTGGACACATTTCTTGAAACACCCTGTATAGTCACTTTCATTACGGGTGTGTTGATCATGTGCAGAGCAAGTTATTTAAACGCGACTTGAAATATCAAACTATAAGCAATCGTCGAAATCACCTGCAAGGGCAATTCGCGATGGCCCGTACTGCGGAGTACCTGAGACGCAGTCTGTCTGTATGAAATACAAATTTTGGGCGAGTGTGTGATGTACACTACGCGAGAGTGTACACG